TTGTTGTTGTTGTTGTTGTTGTTGTTGTTGTTGTTGTTGTTGTTGTTGTTGTTGTTGTTGTTGTTGTTTCTTCTGATGAAGTATTTCCGGTCAGATTTCCCCACAGTTACTAAGTACATGCTCAGATACATTTGAACACATACCTGGTTTATTGGGGGGTTTCGGGTCTTTTCGTATCCAAACACCCCCCCCCAGCAGCAACATGAAACAGATCAGCAGCAACATGAAACTGATCAGCAGCAACATTGAAACATCAGCAGCAACATTGAAACTGATCAGCAGCAACATTGAAACTGATCAGCAACATGAAACTGATCAGCAGTAACATTGAAACTGAGAAACTGATCAGTAGCAACATTGAAACTGATCAGCAGCAACATGAAACTGATCAGCAGCAACATGAAACTGATCAGCAGCAACATGAAACTGATCAGCAGCAACATGAAACTGATCAGTAGCAACATGAAACTGATCAGCAGCAACATGAAACTGATCAGCAGCAACATGTAACTGATCAGCAGCAACATTGAAACTGATCAGCAGCAACATTGAAACTGATCAGTAGCAACATTGAAACTGATCAGTAGCAACATGAAACTGATCAGCAGCAACATTGAAACTGATCAGTAGTAACATGAAACTGATCAGCAGCAACATGAAACTGATCAGCAGCAACTTGATGTGGTTTTTCACAGTGATTATTCTGGTTAGAGAATCATGAGTCTAACAGCCTCAGGGTAGAAGCTGTTCCTCAGTCTAGTGGTTCTACACTTAATGCTCCTCAACCTCCTTCCTGAGGGGAGCGGGGCAAAAAGTGTGTGTGCTGGGTGAGTGTGGTCCTTCATGATGCAGGTGGCCCTCTTCCTGCATCTGGAGGTGTAGATGTCTGTGATGGTGGAGAGTCTGACTCCAACATCTTCTGTGCAGCCTTCACCACTCTCTGCAAAGCTTTTCTTTCTGCAGCTGTGCAGCCTCCATGCCACACGTTGATGCTGGAGCACAGGATGCTCTCCACTGCACACCTGTAGAAGGAGGTGAGGACTGAGCTTCCCAGACCAGCTCGCCTCAGCCATCTGAGGAAGTAGAGTCTCTGATGATCTTTCTTCATCAGGCTGATGGTGTTGTTGCTCCAGATGAGGTTGTTGTTCAGGTGTACACCCAAGTACTTGTAGCTGGAGACCACTTCCACCGCAGGTCCTCTTATGTTCGGGGGTGGGGGGGGGGGGTAGGTTTGTTTGTTCCTTCTGAAGTCCACGACCATCTCCTTTGTCTTCTTAATAATAATCATTTACCCACTGCCTGTCCTTCGTGATCCTGGGGCCTTCTCTGCAACTTCTGAGACTCCGTTGCAGATTCTTTCTTTCTACGTGCATATTTAATGGCTGCAGGCCATCCGTGGTGTACTTCCTGTAAGCATCTGGTCCTCACTTGGTTAGGCATACATTGAGTCCACCACCCCCTGGCAGTGGCAGTCTTCCACCAGCTCTGCATATGTCCCCCTCTTTTTCTTATGATCCTCTTCCATCCTCTCCTCCCAGGGCACGATTAACTCCAACATTACCACATGCTTGGAATTTTTCCGATACAGTAAAATATCTGGTCTAGGCTGGTCTTTGTCATGTTCCCTGGAAATCTGAGTCATTTTTCCAGGACCACCTTCATTTGCCAGGAAGTCTTAATGAACTGCATCATCTGGATTTTCTAAATCTTCGTAAAAAAGAAGCTTTTACTGTTCAGAGAGAGGACATGAAGTCTGACTGGACTTCTCTCTGTTTGCTGAGATTCTAGTTTCTGCCGCTAAAAAAATAAAATAAATAACCATGTAGGTGGGTCTCCACAGGATGAAGTACCAACAACCAATCGCCCAGATTCCTCCTGGACCTGCCATAGAAACAGTTCTTCTGTTCCTACATACTGAGAGACGACCAAACCAAAGTGTCACTCCTGAGTCACTGATTACAGCAGCTGCGTGGTTGGAAACAGCTGAACCATCCATCCAAGGGTGCACCACACGTTCCATCCAACCTGCATGTGCCAGAAAACACAAAGGTCTACAGCTGCTTGGCAAAACCCCAACCCAAACATCTCACCTTCCAGCTTACAGCCCTGTAAGTTTGGGGTTCCAGCGGGATTCGGTCGAGGCCCTCTCAAACTGGGATGTGGTTCCTGCTCAGCTGCAGAGGCACGATAGTGGTGATTCAGGTAACGGCATGCGGTGTGGATGATTCGACACGAGCTGTGGTACGGTTCTAATCCCACTATAACTGAAGCGGTGCACCGGGGAGGACCCTGATCTGAGAGCTGTGGTCTGGACAGAGGACGCCACATGAAACTGTTGTGGGTAAATATTTGGAAGAAGAAGCAGAAACTTCACAGGGAGGCTTCTGTCTGCTGCGATCACAGACTTTTATCACAGCTGGCAGAGGTTCAGGACCCAGAATACAGACTAGACTAAAAACTATCAAAAATAAACCGTTCTCTTCACAAACTCATGAAACAAAGTGCTGACGTGGCAGCCAGAACTTCCAGGAGGACTGATGACATCCACATGATGTTCAGTGACTGAAGGTCCAACAGAAACAGAATCTACAGGATCACTGAGAGGAGAGAATGGCAAACACCTGGAGAGAGACAACAAGGATTAGTGAGAGTGGGCGGGGCATGAAAACAGGTGAAACACAAGAAACTATGAAACACAAAGATCCCCAAACACAGAGAATAAGAAACATGAATCTAGTCAACTCAAAACAACAACCAGCACCGTCCTGAAACTTTTACCTCAACTCAGAGGCGAGGACCGCAGCAGGGATCCCACCGCTGACACCACAACTCATGGCGGTAAGGCAAGACAGACAGGAAGACGCAGCTTAATGCTGTTTTTTTATTTAATCAACGTCAAGCAGAACTTGAGCAGAAGAACTTGAGCAGCAGAACTTGAGCAGCAGAACTTGAGCAGCAGAACTTGAGCAGAAGACTCTGTCAGACCTCATCTGAACCCATTTGGTATCGGTTTAAAACCCATGGAAGACCTTGTGGGTCAAAAACTCAGCTACAGATTTATTTTTGTCCTTTTTTAATTAATTAATGTTGGTGCAATCATTAAACACAATTTTTTCTAACAAAGCCTAAAAATCCTTCAACTTGTATTTTGTCCGATTCTTTACAAACACTCTCATAACCTAACAGTAACCTGAGGGGGGAGACTATAATTACATTAGAATTATACTGAAATAGAACTTTTAGTCTCACATTATCACATCCTAAAACAACACGTTCCTTTCAGTAACGTTTTTTACCTCCATCCCTATATCTTCAGTTTTTATATCGGCTCTTTAGAGACGTATTTCAACTCACTGTAGAAGCAGAGCCTTCCATTAGCCGGAGTCGCTGCAGAGTCCCGCCTCTCATCTTGGCTGACAAAACAGTTTTAGTTCTGATGTAAAGAACAACAACTCACTGTTTATGTGCACAAGTGAACATTTTGTAATAAAAGGCTGCTTCACATGCGTGCAGGCTGCAGCATCAGACGACAGCTGCTGTTGGTTTATCCCAACGCAGGACGTCATTAGCAGGTGCACCGTGCTCCTGCAGCTCGCTGTACATCTTTCATTCATTCAACCTTTAGGTTAATCCCATTGAGCCTCAGGGACTCGTTGACAAGAGACCTGAAGAAAGGGTGCTGGAAGGTGCACCAGCTGGGGACTCCTTCATTCTGCTGGGGGACTTCAGTGCCCACATGTGTAATGACAGTGTGACCTGGAGGGGCGTGACTGGGAGGAACGGCCTCTGATCTGAACCCGAGCGGTGTTCTGTTGTTGGACTTCTGTCTAGTCATAGTTTGTCCATCATGAACACCATGTTCCAGCATAAGGGTGTCCATCAGTGCTCCTGGCACCAGGACGCGCGTGGTCGTAGATCAATGATTGACTTCATAGTCGAGTCATCTGATTTGTGGCTGTTTGTTTTGGACACTCGGGTGAAGAGAGGAGCGGAGCTGTCAGCTGGTCACCACCTGGTACTGAGTTGGACCAGATGGTGGGAGAAGATGCTGGACAGACCTGGTAGACCAAACGTCTACATGTGTTTTGTGTATTTGGAGAAGACATTCGACCGTGTCCCTCGAGGTACATTGTGGGGGGTGCTCCATGAGTATTGGGGGGCCTGTTGTTACTGGTTGTTTGGTCCCCACACAGGTGGTGTGAGTGCTTGGTTCACATTGCTGGTAGTAAGTCGGACCCTTCAGGGTGGGAGTTAGACTCGGCCAGGGCTGCCCGTTGTCACCGATTCTGTTCATAACTTTTATGGACAGAATTTCTTGGTGCAGTCAGGGGGTGGAGGGAGTCCGGTTCGGTGGCCTCAGGATTCATCTCTGCTCTTTGAGATGATGTGGTCCTGCTGGCATCATCGTGCCGTGATCTTCAGCTCTCACTGGAGCGGTTCACAGCTGAGTGTGAAGCGGCTGAGATGAGAATCAGCACCTCCAGATCTGAGACCATGGTCCTCAGTCAGAAAAGGGTGGATTGTTCTTTTAATAATAATAATAATGTCATCACAATGTCAGCACTGTATGTTTCCATACAATGGCGAAATTAGTCTCTGCATTTAACCCATCCACCACCAGGTGGTGCAGTGGGCAGCTATTGAAAGCGCCCGGGGGACATTTTGGGGATGAGACGTGCTGCCCAGAGACGCCACGTGATGTGCAGTGACTGGGGATCGAACCTGGGACTTTTTTCAGGTTGAGGGTGAGGTTCTGCCTCAAGTAGAGGAGTTCAAGTATCTCAGGGTTTTGTTCACGAGTGAGGGAAGAATGGAGCGTGAGATTGACAGATGGATTGGTCCAGCGTTTGCAGTATTGTGGACTCTGTGGTGAAGAGGGAGCTGAGCTGTAAGATAAAGCTCTCTGTTTACTGGTCGGTCTACGTTCCTCCCCTCACCTCTGGTCATGAACTCTGGTAGAGACTGAAAGAATGAGATCGTGGATCCAGGAGGTTGAGATGAGTTTCCTCTGCAGGAGCTGGACTCTCCCTTAGAGACAAGGGGAGAAGTTCAGTTATCAGGAGAGACTCAGAGTAGAACCACTGCTCCTCCACATCCAGAGGAGACAGTTCAGGTGGTTCATCTAGGGAGGTGCTTCGGGCATGTGTGACTGGGAGGAGACCCCAGTGAAGACCCAGGACACACTGAAGAGACTATGTGTCTCTGTTGACCTGGGAACACCTTGGAGTCCTCCCAGAAGAGCTGGAAGAGGCTGTGGAGAGAGATGTCTGGACCTCCCTGCTCAAGATGCTGCCCTGAGACCTGAGTCCAGAACAAGAGGATGGATGGATGGATGGATGGATGGATGGATGGATGGATGGATGGA